GAGGGGTGGACCCGATGATTCTTGAGGTCCCCTTCTAAGCCTATGGCTCTACAATGAAAGTATGCATTTAATTTTAAAACTTTGTTAAACTAATCAATATTGACATTTTAAAACCAATTATGGAGAGATCCAAGAGCAACCAAAGCAGATGCTCTTTATTTTCCACCTCTGAAAGACAGGGAATATTTAATGTTTATTAATCGCTGCACACAAGCCCTATGCTTTTTTCGAAGGGCATACTTCACAAAACTAAAAAATGTAAGTCAAGACATATAAGCAATGAACTAAAGCTTTCAGATCATCATTATAAAGCACAAAAATAGAATTTCATAATAAAACAGGGTCACTACTGAGATAGGAATGCACTGTTTTTCATTAAATACCAGCAGTAAAAAAATAGCTTTAAAATTAATCTTAGAAAAGCATTATCTGTGTGTATCTGATGCAAAGCATCAATGTACTAACCTTAATTTGTGTGTCTTTTACCCCTTGGAACCGGATTTGATTAGACTGGATTTGATTCTACATTTGATTGTGAAGTGACAAAATCATCCTGCTTTTAAGAACTGTAGAAGGGTAAAATGAAAGTGCATCTGATTTTAAACCTATTTCTCAGAGGCAATAATAAAAGCATTTACAAACTAGCAAACAGGAAAGGACAAAACAGTGGAGATCAGTATATTTTACTTTCTGGGATGGGATTTGACAAAAATAAAGCTATAGTTGTACTGGGGCACATTTATGTCATAAAAAATCCTGGGTGTTACAGGAATCGAAATACTGCATCTGCTTGACAGGATTACCACACTGAATAGGTTCTACACCACATTTGATTGAGTTTATCTATATGCAGTATCCATCAATCGTGTCAGGAATCAATTTACAAAACTTGATTCTGAGCCAGTTAGAATCCCTGGGTGTTTTGCTATGGAGTTCAATGAGATATCAAAAGTAGCCTTTAGAGATGGAGATCACATGAGCTTGCTTGCTTGTCTGATCGTCCTGCCCTCAAACCACTAGATTAAAAAAAAATCATCCCCAGGGGTCACAATCAGCAGCTGCGTTTGTGTATTCAGTTCTAGACTGAAATGTGTGAGTGGTTGGAGCATATAGTCGTCTAAATCAGAGAGTTCTTTACAGAAGTAGAACCATGCTTCAGAAATGCAGTTAAAGTAAGAAAGGGGACTCTACCAAAAATAGAAAGGGAACTCAGTTCTCTTTCATACCATACTGGATCCTTTTGGTGCAGTTGTCAGAAAAAAATAGGGACACCAGTATTCTGATGCATGCAGTCTTTTTATAAATCATCAGAAATGGAGTGAAATGATATCATTTGCATGACAATCATGGGTTGTGGACAAAAGCAGTATAAACAGATAGGACACTGGCAATAACTTTTTGGCATTTACTGCCATTTATAACATTGTATTAGGGTCTTGAAAATGATCTTTGCTACTTGGCCAAAATGACTTCCTCTTCCCACTCATTTCTGTTTCTTACAAAGTGCAGCGTGGTAGATTGTTTAATTCCCTGTTTATAGAAAGAGACATGAATTGTGCCTTTACTTGTTCACTGTTCTCTACTTATTAACTTCAGAAACACCTTTATTTTCATTAAGATGGTATAAAATTGGTAAAGCATTTTGACAAAAATCTGCTGAAAATCCCTCTCTAGAATCAGCAGGACTTCAGGAGTTTTATAGTCAGTAGGGTTTCTCACAGAGTGTTTTGGCAGAAGTTTTCCTACTCCTCTCTTTTAACCCCAGATACAATAAAGTGAGTCATATTAAAATAGCAGGTTAGGTGACCAGTTCCTGCTACATCAGTTTTTGTAAAAATTCAACAGATGGCAATCAGAAGTCTTATCACACACATCACTATCTCCATAATTAAAAGGATAATTAATATCCCTGTCTCAGGGATTTAAGGAAAAGAAGTGAGGTAGGAACATTAGCAAGGATCAAGGCCTGTCTCAAGTTAAGCCATCTCCCTCAACCTTCCTCCAGCTGGCAGAGAGAGAGAGAAAGTAATGGACTCTTAACAGGGTCATGTCTCTGTTCCTTGCCTGGCATGTGTGGTGGTCCAGTTTTCATACAAACTGCTGGAAGCAAGTGCCTGATAACTTAGAATTCACCCTTCTCATGAAAAAGAGATGGCAAAGAATAGTTAATACCAAAGGTAAGTGTTTTTTCCAACATGCTGTAGATAACGTGAATTACACTGTAATGCTTTATGTGCCTCATCAGTGCAAGCTCCGAATCTTTTCAACGAACATATCTGTGCCTCTTGTGCTCTTTTAGAAGGGAATAAAGTTGAAGTGACCATAAGCGTCCCTCATTTTCCTTATGATTTGAAACCTGTGGCTACTAATGTTGTCAAAAATAGCCATGGAGGATGGGTCACATGATCCATTCTCATTGGCCCATTTCATTAGCAGATCCAGGATGCCTCTCTGGGCCATGATGAGTGAACGCACAGTCACTGGCAGAGCTGCACTGGTCAACTTTGTCATACAGTGAAATAAAATGCAGTATCCTCTTTGACCATGATGAAATAGTCTGTTTGACTTGTAGCGCAGCCAATGATGGCCACAAAATGATGGCACGGCCAGCATTGTAAAGGATTTGGCCTTATTGATATAATACTGAAGAGCTCAGGAGAAATCCAGAGCATGCAGCTTCCTCCCACCATGCTTGGAACAAGGCTCTCAGAAGTTAATTGGTTTAAGTGGACTGTAGTTCATTTGGAATGAGGACCACCTTGTCTTTATGGTCCAAGGTATGAAGGAGTCCTAGGGCTTGCTCTTTTTTTTGGCTGCAGTGATGGCTATCAAAATGACCATCATGAGAGTAAAACTGTGGATGGAGCATTCTAAAAGGGGCTCACAGGAGAGTTTCTATGTTCAAAAGGCTGATGTTAGGGTCCCACAGTACAGTACATTTTCTGACTGGTAGGTAACTATATATTAGGCCCTTGCAAAATGTGAATACTGCTGAGTGAGAGATGATAAAAAGCAACTATGCCAGATGGACCTTTACAGAGCTCTGACAAAACACAGGATATTTTAATTACAGTAAAAATGTCCAGAATCTGCAATAGTGAAGCCTACACTGGGTCTGGACTGTATTGACTTGACCAAATTAAATACTGTATAGATTTGAAAGCCTTTTAGGCTGCTTACAGATGTGTTAAAGAAAAAATGGCACTTTAAGCTCAGTGCACCCCTGTGCTGAGCACAGCACGTGCCCAGAAGAGACACTGCGCGCTAGTTGGGCTTGGCTTGCCCAACATCTGTATGCATCAGGTGCTGAAGCAGGGCTTTTTGGCTCTTTTATCTAATAGCTGATTCAATCAGCTACTAGATAAAAGGGCCAAAAAGCCCCGCTGAATTGCCTGATCTATATGGATGCTGAGGAGCGGAGTCGAACTAAGCTGCTGGGTTTTTTTTCCCATGTCTGTCAGCACCCTTAGTGGATACTTTTCTGCTCTGTGCAAGGATTTTTTGAACACGGTAGAAGCACAGAGCTCAATCAGCCAATATCCGCAATATAAGGTGCAGCAGCTTTGGGTCTGAATGAAATACCTGACCATGATCTTTTGACACTGGTTTGGACAATCTGTAAATGCTTCCAACAGCTGTAGGTTTTCTGTCAGCCAAAGTTGTCTCAGACAGAAGAAAACTATGAGGATGAGTCTGATCTGCTCTCATTTGGCTTGGCAATAATTCTTGGAATTAACCAAATCATTAGGAAGCATGGAGTGGCTTCAGTTCCACTGCAGGAGTCATCCTGGCCTTGAGATTCCTTGAACAGTAGTTCAGATACTTGGCACTGTAATTGGTGGCAAACAGGGCTACCAGTGGAGTCTCCCACTGATGGAATAACACCTTGGTGAAGGATTTCAGCAGTGTTATTCATGGCTGGTGACTGCCTGCTTAGGAAGTATGCTAAACTGCTGCTGATTCTTGTGGTACAAAGATACTGGGTTTATGCCAGTAGGGAACACCATTTCCATAATCTTCTCTGCTTGTTTATGTAATATAAAGCAAATGGATGGGGGTTACCTGCAATATTATATGTTGTAGGGAGGAAGGCAGGCCACACTCAGCAATGTGATGGCTTTGAGCGCTAAGAGGTTTATTAGCAATACTGTGCCTTCTGCATACATTGTTCCAGTAGATGGGCCAGGTGGGTTGCTCAACCTGTCCGTGTACTGCTAGGCTGTGTCACAATCTCTGTGCTGGGTGAAACAAGCCCTCATAAATCTGGAGGGCAATTTTTGATGACACTGATGATCTGACAATGTTGAGCAGCTTGTGGGTGTTTTTTTGGGGGCGCTCATCTCAACAACCAGCCAAGGTTTCAGTAACCTTAATATAGGCAGCATGCCCAATTTATGTAGGACATGCCCAAAAGATGGCAAGGAGAAATGCTTCTTCAAGAATGGTGGAGGACCTGTCCTAATGCCAAGGCAAGAAGTGACTGTGATTCCTTGAAAGAAAGAGTATTTCCGTCTACTGGGGAGGCCCTCCAGTTGCTGTTGAGAACACAGTGGCTCTTATGGTTGAAGTGGGCTCTAGCACTACATTTTCTCATGCCCTCTTTGAAATTTTCACCTCCATGTAGATGAGGTATTTTGGTGATTTGTCTTTGAAGGGAGATTCTTTTTTCTGGAATAATAAACTTGTTGCACCCTTTGAACTGCTCTTGTGCTTGGTCTGGGTCTGTTGCCCTGCATCTCAAAAAAGCTGGTGATCTGGATGACAGGTCTGGAGTCAGCACTCAACAGAGAGGCCATCAAGGCAGTTGGAATTTGTGCTGGAACAACTGATGCTGGGCCATCACTGGTGGTCATGGTTTTGGTGTTCTTTTTTGACTGGTTCTTTTTACTGGAATAGTAATCTGGTCCACTACCATGTTCTGCTACACTTGGCACAAATAGCCTCCTAGATTCAGGCTTCCTGGATCTCTCTCTTCCCCATGGTTTAGTGCAACTTTCATGGATTGCTCAAGGAAATGTAGCGTGAACTTTGTCTCTCTAGATATTCAGATAGGGGACAGGAAAGAACAGCAGATCCAGCACCTCTTGGGGATGTGCCCTTCCCCAAAAAGGAA